ATCTATATATATAGCTGCAGAGAAGACTTCATTCGCAATGACTGAAATAATTATTTCACATTGTTTTTCTGTTAGTTTTACAATAATGCAATAGATAATCATCATCGACAATTAAATTGCAAACGACTAAAGTAAGTTTCATAGCCGTATATGGAGTATTTGAGCCAGACAACGTACTTATCCGGACTCTCGCTGGACCATTTAGTTTTTATTTTTTTATAGACAACCGGAAGATCCGACAATTTTTTGCAAAGTGATTGCAAACGTTGCTAACGATTCCGCAATTTTGGGTATTTTTTTCATGTCCCAATTCGAAAGTCATTCGCGGAGTTCCTGGAGCCCCTCACTCCCCCTTTCCTTCTTGCACTCCCATCGCTCCCATGCCACCCGATATATCCCAGTTTGTTGACATGCGGAACCCATCGATGGTTTTAGTATACAGGTTGACGCTAGCGCTGCCCGACCATGCGGCGTTTCCGTGGCCTACGTAACTTATTAAGGGAGTATCCTCCTTATGTTGTATAATAACGTCAAGATTTTGATGATTTTGAAATGTTCGTTAATAATGGCAAGGCAAAGCTCTAATTAAAATTTCAAGACTGTTAACAGTTTTGGAAGCGAGTTATTGATGTAAATGTATATTTCAATTAAACATGTCATCAAATGGGTGTACGTACTCAAATAATTATCATTTAACGCGCGTACGCGAGCGTTAAAGACTATCTACTTCAAAGCTTTTTTTTCATGCTCTGTTGAACTTATCTCCATACTGTAAGATATAATGTATCGGGTGCGTTTATGAGCGTGAATTCAGCTGATGTTTAAACAGTTTTATATGTATGAATAGTCATATTTAGGAGTTAAAATAAAATAATCCATTTAAATTCAAATGCGTTTTGACTACGAACATTGTCATATTCAAGTCATATACTTACCACCTCGCTTACCACTCGATTTTTTTAACGTTTATTTCAATTTCCCAAAAAAATGACATGGTTTTTATAAGATGTACTCGATATAATATTAAAATATTATCTCAAACGCTCACCTCCATCACGTAACTCCGTCGTAAACGAACGTATGGTTTATTTGTTAATTTTCTAAATTAGCCTCTTCTTTTTCGCATAGTTTACAAAGTTTATTTTCTCTTCTCAACTGGTATTTAGTCACTAGCCATTTAAATATTTCCACATCTCGTTTTCACAATAGTATCAATCGCAAACTGTGAGAATATTACAACTAAGTACCTATTTTGGCCCTGTCTCTCATTTGTATCTTTGGTTACTTTCAGGTCATTATTGGATTTAATTGTCTACTTAAGCCAAAACTACTGAGAAATTAGTTGATTATTATACATTCACATCAGAATACCAGTAATTGATTACAAATGATAAGGATGCATATCATATTGAAATTCACTCTTTCGTTTGAGAGCTGCAACAATATTCGACCACTGATAAAAGAGCTGTTTGTCATTTATTGCTGTAACAGCATCCGTAGTAGCAAAAACCGGCACGTGCTGTTGTAGCAAACAAACAAACCTACATTGACACGTATACGTACAAACACATGTAGAGTTATAGAGACATTCATCCACGTAAAAAAAAAGATAGCCTCCGCAAAAGTGAATGTAACTCGAGTGTGTGTACCGTATATGTGCAAGTACGCGGAGGAGCGAAAGTATAAAGTAGGTGTAACACACGCACACAAAAAAAAAGAAAGATTAAACACTGGTATAGAGCGGAGGAGCAACACACTTTACAAAAGTAAAGTTAAAGAGGAACACGTAACAATTGTTCAAACCCATTGGCTACTTAAGCGATTGCTGCTTTGGTAGTGTATTATGAGTAGGATACGTGTACCGGTCCTACACGTGTGATGTGGTCATTGACGCATCAGGTGGTGTCAGTCACCTCGCGTGCGGCTCTCTGTGTGCCACTATACTCGGTACACCACTCACCGCTTCCGTATTCACGGTGTATCCCGTTTTCCAACATTTCTTTGCTCCTTTTTTTTGCCTCTCTGCTCCGTTTTCGAAACGAAACTTATCCAGAGAGCTCCTTTCGCGGGACGATTCCGGGTAATAACGCGACAGAGTGTGAAGAAGTAGGCACAGAAAAAGAGAAACCGCCAGGGCGAGGAATTCCCACGTCCGCGTCCTGGGAAATGATTCTTTGCGCTGTTTGTACAATGTGATTTGTAAGGTTGAGTAATAAACAATGGTTTCATTCGAGGATCAAAAAGAAAGTATCAAAATTAAACTGTCTCTGTAACAGTAAAGACCGTGAATGATTTGACACTCGAATAAACCCAAACAAACAAACTTGCGAAAAACATGTCAACTCTGTTGATGTTGGATGATGTTGTAGCACGTGCAACTGATATACAAGTGATCCCATAAGTCAGCTGTCATGGGGACGACGCGTGTTTACGATTAGGTGTTGTTTATACCCATCGAAAATATATCCATTTTGTATTTATACGTCAGCTGTTACCGACAGTATAAGCTTTACGAGCAGACGACGTACGGTAAAAGATGCAAGTGACATATGGGGAGTTTCGCAGGTGATTGGGACAGAAAAAAACGATGCCCGGCGTTGACCGATGCTCAAAAACTCTCCCGCAACACGCTTTATAACCTAAGAAAGTATACAAACTCACCTCGAGGTTACCGGCTGCAGCATGCCTCTCCCGCGGGCTCCTCTCCTCGAACGATCGCCCAGCTGATGGCTGCTGACAGCTCCGACTCCGCCGAGTAGACGCGTTTTGGGCCGAAATTGATAACTGTAAACACAAGGAACGTTCACGTCGCTGAGTCGCTCGTAGTAACTGTGTATACGGTAAAAACGCTTGGACTGTATGAGAGAACGTGAAACGATAACGTACAGGGAGGAGCGGCAGCGTATAGCCGAATGTGGCACAGCCGCAACTGTGCGAGCGAGCAGCACACGCGCGAGTCGTGACACCCAAGCAAGAAACCGGGTAGGCGAAAGGAGGTGGAGGGTGGAAGATGGTGGCGGAGGGATGCGTGGGAGAGAAAAGGATGGATGAGTGGCGGGTCCCTCACTCAGGCTCCAGGAACTCCGCGAATGACTTTCGAATTGGGACATGAAAAAAATACCCAAAATTGCGGAATCGTTAGCAACGTTTGCAATCACTTTGCAAAAAATTGTCGGATCTTCCGGTTGTCTATAAAAAAATAAAAACTAAATGGTCCAGCGAGAGTCCGGATAAGTACGTTGTCTGGCTCAAATACTCCATATACGGCTATGAAACTTACTTTAGTCGTTTGCAATTTAATTGTCGATGATGATTATCTATTGCATTATTGTAAAACTAACAGAAAAACAATGTGAAATAATTATTTCAGTCATTGCGAATGAAGTCTTCTCTGCAGCTATATATATAGATATAGCTCGAGAGCAGACAGCTACCAAACTGGCGGAAAATTCAAATATGTCGCACAGTAGAACAACTTCAACTTCTTAATTGCACTCTCGCACTAACAAATTGTGAGCTTCAATAATTATAATTATTTGAACTGACTTTGTGCTCAGGGGTACTTATTTCGCGTAAATCAAAGCAATCCGCAAATGACAGTTTATGTGAACATAAGGCTCGTTCTCCCTTCTCCCATTCGAGCGCATCTCTTTAGAGTGACTCGAGCTGTATACCTATAAATATATATATATGTACCTATATATATATATATATTTGCTCTGACTCACGTTACCAACTTTCAAACGCCAAAATGATAGTTTTATACTTATTG